GTAGACATTCCCACTCAGTCTGGCACTTCAGCTTTGAAACATAGGGTGGGGGAGTGGGTCTCAGAGCCTGAGCTCCATCCCAAGCAGGAACATCTACACAGCTATTTTTAGTGCTATAGCATGAGCCCCGAAGCTGAAGCCCAGGTCTTCAGGCCAGGCCTCTGAGACTTGGCTGCCATAATTTTTATTTTGCAGTGTAGGCATATCCTTGGAGGTGAGAAAGGAACAGTACAACAGATAGAGCTTTGCCCTGGCTGTGAATAGAATCAAAAGGCTGTTTTCACACAGCGAAAGGAGAAGCACTCTGGATCCATTCACTGAGGAACCCCCCCTGAGAGTAAGGGGGCTTTCAAGAATGTTTGGGGCCTGGTTTTTGTGAAACCAACCAGCTCGGCAAAAGACTGAACTTTTGGGGGAAAGTCTACCTTATTGTATAGGAGTGATAACTATTGATACACGTAGACTCAGATTAGCATTTAATGATTTTGTTGTGTGTTGTAACCCATTGTTTCCATCATTCTCTTTCATTTCTAGTTAAATCTTTATGCTTTCTTAAATAAACCTGCTTTTGTTTTATTATAAGTGCTCACAAGTGCTGTGCAGTTTACAGGAGAAATGGCTTAAGGTAAAACTGGTAAATTGGGGTACACTGCACCTTTGGGCACTGAGAATTTGGAATTTCTTTTAGTAGCCAATGTCAGGGGCTGGATAACACAGACAAAGGCTTCAAGGGGAGAGTGGTCAAAGGGCTAGCTGCCACCCTGCTGCCTCTCACTGGAGGCAGGGAGTAACAAAAAGTGACTCACACTCCTCGACTCCCTGAGAACCATCACAATAATTAAAGACTGTGACAGTGATTCACCTATCACCTACCCCAATGTATATCTGACGTAACAATTGACTTAAGTGATGCTAGGGGTTCAGGTGAGAGGAGAATCAGGTCCTCTATTTTAATTTGTATGTACACATAGACAGATTGTATTTTCCTTGATAACTTTTACATTACTTGCTGTTTGTGGGATTAATCTATAACTTTAACATTGTTTTAACATAGTGCTTTTGCATTTAATGTCCTAGCCTTTTTTTAAAAACCTCCAGCTCTATAAACCTTACCAGTCAGCAAAGAGTGCTTCTCAGTGTCACTTGTAATCTGCACGTGTACTTAACAAGCACCAACAGAGCTTCATGTATATCACAATTACGTATGTGCAGATTTTGCCATGCAATCTATCCCCGCTGCAGATCTGTATTCCAGAATTGAAGCTTTTCTTTTGTTTCGAATTATGTTTCTAGCCCACGTCGTTATGACGATAACCTTGAGAACATGAGCCAATCTTAAACAGGCAGCACTGTCTTCCTTGTAACTTCGCCCTGGAGAACATGGCAGTTGATTGGGACATCATGTGACTGGCAGTATGACAATAACACTAGACATCCATGTGAAATTAGAGAATCATTCCAGTGGTGTTTTGCTTCTAACATGGTTCATTCAGATTTACAAGAAAGTTTTGTGCATAATTTAAAAGAATGGATTCCTGTTTCATTGGAGAGCCACATGCCAGAACCAAATGAAATGTGAACATGGTTGAAATCTAAAATAAGCCTCATGTTTCAGATTTTCCTTGGCTTATTAACATGGCTTACTTTAAAAATAAAAGTTTTATTCATAGTTTACTAAATCCAATTATTAGTTTTATGGCAGAGACAGTCTGAGCTTGTGGTTGAGAGCTCTGTCCTGCAAAGACTTACTCACCTGAATAATTTGATATATGTGAGTAATTCCATTGATTTCAGTGAAACTATTTGCATGCATAAAGTTACTCATGTGCCAAGTCTTTGCAGAATCAGTCCTTCCGTCAAGACTCAAAGACGAATTTGGGTTTGATTTGGAAAATGGTGAAAATTTCAACAAAAATGGAAAAAAACCCACCACATTTTTTCAAAATTTCAGCAGAAAATGTTTACTTTTGGCCAATGAAAGAAGATCACACAGTCTAAAATGATCAGTTTTTGGCTGAAACCCCAGACATTTTGGAGTTTTCATTTTTCTGACAAAAATATCATTTTTTTAAGGGCAGCAGACTCTTGCCAGGAAAATGTTTAGTTTTGTCAAAATTCCAATTTTATGTTGAGATGAAAATTTTTTGATCAAACCTAGTACTATTCCTGGCTTTGCCTGAATCCTGGGCATGACATTTATCTTCTCCATGTCTCACTTTCCTTATCTGTAACATAGGGGTAAATATATTACCTACCTCAAAGTAATGTTAAAAGAGTATTTCACTAGTATATTTAAAGTACTTTGATATCTTCTGATGGAAGACCCTATAGAGGTGCAAAGTATTATTTGCATTAACTCTTATCTAATCCTTTTATTTTCTGACTAGACCTTCACCCCTGATTCTTTAAAAAAAATAAATGTGATAATTTGTGTTTCCTGTTGTGCTGGAAATGCCATTAATCATTAGGCGGCATCAAGACCATGACTGAATGAAGTTGGCATAGAGCTCTTAGTCCCTCAAGATTGTTAAAACGTTTCTCTTTTTTCCTCACCCTGTTGTTTTGTAATCATAACAGCTAAAGGCGATGACATTTACAGGGTTATAATTTTTTTTATATACAATCAACACACTGGTATTTATTTGTTCCTGAGTACAGGATCACTGGCTGTTTTTAGCACATTATACCTGACCAAGCCATAGCTTGTTCTTCTATGCAAATCTTGGTCCTGTATGCAAAACAAGTCCAAAGCTTGAAGTCCTTACTCAGTCAATGGGACTTGTGTGAGAGTAGGGAATAAGGTTTCCAAAAGTATCTAGTGATTTTGGGTGCCTCAGTTACTGGATACCCAACTTGAGACACTTTTAAAGGGGCCTGATTTTCAGAGAACAGATGCTCAGCACTTTCTGAAAATTGAATGTCTCAGAAGGGACACACAAACATTGGGGAACTAGTCGCTTTTGAAAAATCCTACTCAAGGACTTTAGGTTTGACCCTACAATAATGAGGCTGAGTGTAACACAGTTCACATATTGTACCTTCAGTGACCATGCCTCTTCTTGATCCTCATCCTGGTAGGTGCCTATGCTCTGACAGAACCTTCCCTTTAGCTGTTTTCCATCATGCCTTCAGCTGGTGGGCAACCAAGCTCTGGGATGAGCCCTGTGGCATGGAACTTGGACATTCACCTTCAACCCATCACTCCCGACGTATAAAAATATATTGAAAATACTTCTTTTTCAGCAGTATTTCCTAGTTTAGACCCCAGTCTTGCAACTGGCTGTGGGTGAGTGGAGCCCACATGGAAGCACTGAGTCACAGAGCCAGGGTCTTAATCACTGTCAGCCCCCGTAGAAGATTCTCCTTCACCCTTTTAAAAAAACAATGCTTTCTTTGGCTTTTTAGCATTTGATTTTCACAGTTGTCTATTTTGTACTGTACTAATGATCAGTTATAGTTTTAATTGTGTCCAACCTGGGACACTGTGTGTGAGTCTTTGCTTTTTAAAAATAAAAACCAGGGCATTGAATTTCTTTTATTTTAACACTGGGTGCTGACAATATCGCTCTGTTCCAATGGTGCCCCAAAACCCAGCTGCTGGCTCCTTTCCAATGGTTGATTTTCACTAAAGGTCTGATCCTAAAATGTAACAATCACTTCCGATTCTTACTGAAGTTAATGGCAGTTGATAATGCTCCGCACATCTCAGGAGGCAATTAATGCTTCACCCTATGCCTTTACTTCCTTACTGCTGCTGCAAAATGATTCCTGAGTTTCTATTGCCTAGATAGGATTTATCTCAGATCGTCTAACTGTAATGAAATGCTAAATTGTATTATACGGTTCAGCCACGAGGTGGTGCTGCATGCAACATACCTTATTTAAGCGAACCTTAGCCACACCTGGCAGAGTGTTAAAGGCTCTTATAGTGAACACAGACATCTGCGGAATATTTCTTTGAGGAGCAGGGCCGCCCAGAGGGGCGGGGGCAGTGGGGCAATTTGCCCCAGGCCCACAGGGGCCCCGTGAGCCCTGGCCCAGGGGCGGTCTGGGTCTTTGGCGGCATTTTGGCGGCGGGGGGCCGTTCAGTGCTGCCGAAGACGTGGAGCAACTGAAGGGCCCCCCGCCGCTGAAATGCCGCCGAAGACCCGGACCACCGCCGGGTGAGTACAAGCGCCGCAGCTCCCCCACTTTGCCCCACGCCCCCTGAATCCTCTGGGTGGCCCTGCTGAGGAGGAAGCTTTGTAGTAAGCTTTGCAACCTACCTTGTACAAGTTGTCTATGACACTAATTATGGGTAACGAAGAGCTAGAGCTATTCTGTCCTTGACAATTTCTTAATCAACTACAATGTCTTGTGAATTCTTTACTACTTTTAAGCATTTAAATTTTCATGTAACTTTATTAATAAACTATTTGTGTCCACTAGTGTGACTGGAAAGATCACCTGTTAGATCCTGTAAAAGGGGCTCTGTTCTAAGCATTCAGAACAGGCTGGAGAGATTAATAAGACTGGGACTTTTCAGCTTGGAAAAGAGACAGCTAAGGGGAGATATGATTCAGGTCTACAAAATCATGACTGCTGTAGAGAAAGTAGATAAGGAAGTGTTGTTTACTACTTTTCATAACACAAGAACCAGGGGTCACCAAATGAAATTAATAGGCAGCAGATTTAAAACAAATAAAAGGAAGTATTTCTTCACACAACACATAGTCAACCTGTGGAACTCCTTGCCAGAGGATGTTGTGAAGGCCAAGACCATAATAGGGTTCAAAAAAGAACTAGATAAATTCATGGAGGACAGGTCCATCAATGGCTATTCACCAGGATGGGCAGGAATTGTGCCCCTAGCCTCTCTTTGCCAGAAGCTGGGAATGAGCAACAGGGGATGGATCACTTGACAGGGGATGAATCACTTGTTCTAGTCATTCCCTCTGGGGCACCTGGCACTGGCCACTGTTGGAAGACAGGATATTGGGCTAGATGGACCTTTGGTCTGACCCAGTAGGGCTATTCTTATGGAGTGCCCATCCTACTGTCTCCCAAAGCAAAGGCAAGATAGGATGGCTGATAATTTAAAAGTGCCTCACTGAACTGAGAGATTTTCCCCCCTTGTGGTGCTTATTATACATGCGTATCTGTATCAGCCTAAAGAGTGAAGCAATAAGGAGAGAAAGATATATGCTTCCTAGCAGTACAGCTATACTCTCTGGGTTAACTTGTGCAGCAGTATTCTCCTCAGTAGATGCAACTAGTGGATCTTGGCAGGCTTCACTCCATCTTGACAGTGTGATGATGACAACTTTCATTGTGTATTTGGAAGATATTGTTTTCCTTGCTTCTTGTTCGACATCACAAATTTCCCTAGAAACCCTCCAAAGAAAATTAAATGGGATTCTACAAGGCCTGTTTACACAGATGATGTTTTGTTGATGGGAATTCAGAGGGAAAACATAATGATAAACTGAAATAAGTTGTGAAAGCAATTGAGGGTGGTGTGCAAGAATTGAATAGAGAAAAGCATTCTACAGCAAACTGAACTACAGGTCTTAGGGCATGTAATTGGTGAAGAGGGAGTTGAGGGCAGCTCCAGGAAGAGTCAGAGCTGTAGTTAAAGTGCTGCTATCTAAAAATATCCCAGAACTGATGTAGTTCCTCTATATGATTACTAGTCTGGAGAAAATTATACCTAGTCTGGCCTCAAAAGTCCAAGTTCTTTATGAACTGCTTAAACAGACTCTCTGTGGATGTGAAATAAAGCACAGAATGTACTTTTGAGGCTATAAATAATCTGTTGCTCCCACCCCCAGTACTGGCATATTTTGATGTATCTACGTCTGTAGCTATTTCAACAGATGCCAAAAGCTGGGGTCCTGGAGAGTGCTACTTCATTTACAAGGAGATACCTGGAAGTTTGTAGCCTATAATTCCAGACAGTTTTCAGACTCAAGCCCAGCTATGCCCAAACAGAGAAAGAATGTTTGGTGGATGTATGGGCTTGCAAAGAAGTTAACAAGACATTTGCATGGTCGTGATAGCTTTAGGCTTGGGATGTACTACAAACCCCAGAAACTCAGGATGAGAGATGATCAAAAAATGAAGCCCTTTTTCATTACTATTTTTGTGAAAATAGTCTTTTTTTTATTGGAAAATTTTGAAATTTGAAACTTTTCAACTGGCTCTGCTGTTACTGAAGCACACGTGTGTGTAGTTTGGAAATGGGTTGCCAGTGTCACCACAAAAACCAGAACTGATTCAAATGGCCACTAGCAAGAGTACAACTATAAATCGTATCCAAACTTATAGAACATGTCTACCTCAGGAATCCTATGTTCGGCCTATGACTTACATGTAATGAGAAGAATTCTCCATAGCTTGTATGATTATCTGTGACATTCATATTATAGTTGGACAGTCCTTTCAGGACAATGTACTGAAAAGTATAAATGAGGGAAACAGCAAGGCCTCAAAAATGTTGCAATGTTGTCAACCTTCAAAGTTAAAAAAGTCCCCTGGTCCTTAAAATTCTCGCTCAAAAGATACAGAGTGGAGATATGCCAAATCTAAGAGGACTCAGTTTTTCTTTTTTAATCATCAGAATCCAGTTTATCCGAACTTAAACTAGGAGATCTAATACTGATAAAAATGGACGAGGTAAAATATGGGTAGCAACATCAGCTGTTGTCATTGACTATAGCTATACCCCAATAGCCTCCATAATTAAGAGTGATTGAGGTATTGAACACAGAAGAACCAGATGACATGTTCTGCTCGTTCCAAACCCGGCTGAGAAGAGTTCTAAGCCTTCAGTGCCCTTGGGATGTGATAAACAAACTGAGCCAGCTGGATGAAATTCTCCTGAAGAGCAGAAAGCGAACCCAGCTGGAAGAAGAGTGAAGCTGATGGCTCATCTGGACAATCTGTTGTTGAATATTGATTCTTGATAAAGATTGTTTTTACAGCAAAGCATTTGCTGTGAAAGAGAGACTCTGAGGGCATAGGGATGGTTTCTTCAAAACTATAATTCTTTACCATTGTCACATGACTGATTTGATGACAGCCAATCACGTGTGCTGATTTATCTGAGTAAGAAGTACATTTAATTGTTTAAGATCCTTGGAGAAGTAATTGACTTCTACTGAATCATTATCAGGGCTTACATAAAACCTGGCCATTTCAATTCTGAAAGTTAAAAGATTTTTAATCTGAAAAAAGAATTGCTGTTGTATTATTTCAACTGATTTAAAAACCGAATTAAGATAAATACATCCACCCAGAATAAAAAATTCTCACCTCTAATGTGTTCATTTATTTCCTTGTTCATGCTGATTAATGTCCACATAAATTGCTTGCACAAATCAATTGGTGTGCCCCTGCAGTCTCCAAATATAAAGGAGGGTAGCCTAGCAACCACTCAGAGACTAATAATACTGCATTTTGACCAAAAGTCTTCCAAACAGATGCAAACACATACCCTTATCTGTTCTTTATTTATTACCTCTTAAACTCTCATGCTGGCCATAGGTCAACACAATGCCACAGTTGACAATTGCCTTTAAATTTACCCTTCACATATTGGTCTGAAACAGCCCTCAGCGGCCACCATGCTAAATTGTCACTCTTCTGCAGGAGCAATTGTTAATTCAGCATTGGGGCAAACAGCAGCCCGGCAAGAAATGTGGCAGCAGAAATGACGACAATGGTATCCCAGCAAGAAATAACAGGAGCAGTGCATCAGGTGGAATGGTTTTATGTCACACTTTGCCCAGCAGTCTGAAGGTCTATTTCTGTTCACTAGATATTCTGCTACACAAACTCTATCGGCGCTTCCTTGTGCACTTCCTACTAAGCTACAATATTGCAAAAAAGTCAAAATTTACCTTAATTCCCACTGTTATCATCACTACACGGAGATGCAATTCAACTTGAACAATAACAGGAAGGAAAGCAAGGATAGAGATGTTAAAGCTGTTTAATAATAAAGATGGTCAAAAGGTTATTGTCAACAAACATGGTTTCAAGAAATATTTTTTTGTGTGGAAAAATGTCATTTTTGTCTACATAGTTTGTTTTTCGATGAAATTTCAAAATTAATTTTTTTGACTTTTTTTTAAACCTTGTGGAGAAAAATGTCACTGCTCTTATTTACTTTTAGCAGTCATCCCCACCACCTCCCTTTTCCCCCCAACTGGGCGAAGTGAAAAATAGTTTTAAAAAAATCTTTCATTTTTACATTTTTTGTCAATTAACTTTAGTTAATGGAAAGTAAGAGGGCCAGTCTCCCTTTGCTAACTCAACCCTCACCCAACATAAGCATGGATATTAGAACTTCTCCCTCTAATCCTGTTCTCAGTGCTAATATGTATAACTGGAACACATTTGACTTCCTACTGTCTCTTCCACCTTTGCTGACTACCAGTCCAGATATCCCACATATAATATAAATATTAAATCGGATGCAAAGGAGAAGGTGATCTCAACAGATGGTGCCAGTTGAAAGGAAGTAAGGGCAACATGATAAGGCAACTAATTAAACCAACTAATTAAGACAGAGCCATTAAAACTTCAAGTCTCTTGCCTGCTAAATGGCAAAATTAGGGTATCCAAATTTTCCTTTCACTGTACCAATTCCCTAAAGTAAGCTGCCAACTAAGGATATGGCCCTGAATTTATTTTTTGCATGTTTTCCTTCTTTAGTTCTGTGTGTTTGGAATATCATCCCAATTCTGCTTCAGACTTATGAAAGTTCATGAACTCTGTCCCCTTCTTACTTTACTGAATTTAATATCTTTCATTCCCAGGATGCTTATTTGTTTTGAGTGCCCAGCTATCATTTAAAAGCTCTGAGGATAAAAGTCTTTTCTGTGGCTTCTGACATCTCTAAAGGAAACCTTTTCCATTGTAATTTGCTCCTTTCTCCCTCTTTTAAAATTCTCACCCTTGTCCCTGCCCATTTACTGATGTTTTCCAATAACTGCAATGATTTCTCTTTAATAGTTTGCTGAATTTGCATGTTGTCAGCATATAGCACATGGGAAATATGCTGGATGTTTTCTGTTGATTATAGTGTATAAGAGGTTTGTGATATGGGCACCTGGTCAAACTATAATGCTAAAGGGAAGGGTTAATCTTTATTCCAAACTGTATAAAGAGATGCAGTACTTTTTCTTCTCTTTTTATCTCTGCATGTGTAACTGTGGCAGTGGTGAGTAACATATCTATAAATGGGTCCTGGTGAGAAGTAAACATCATGTGGTCTCCAGTTTGGAAGCTTGTTGAGTGGGAGGCATTTACTGCATCTTTGGGCTCGCAGAACAATTGCTTGTTTTCTATTAGGTACATATTTGGTGCTAATAATATGCACCTGTTTTTTGCAAAGATAATGTCACATGTAAAAGTTGCATCATTAAAGTGGCAGAGTCAAGCACTCAAAGGCTAGGAGGGGCATGGATAGAGATTGATCATGCAACTTTAATTCAACCCCCTAGCACATATGCATTAGGATACAGTCTTTAACTATATAAGTGAGTCACACATACATACCTCTATATTATAGTGTCCCTCCCATCTAACCATTAGAAAGGATCACTCCATGTTTTTAGCATTAAACTTGGCCATTTCATCCCACAACATCCTGAAATGCAACACACAAGATTTCAGCCCAAACACAGATTTATTTCCCTTTTTAAAAAAATCCTTCTCTCACATATTTTAGTCACTTATAGTTTAGTAAAATAGCAGAATATATTGACAGTTTGGAATCATTGCTGCAGCATTTGAGAATGTAATTTTTAATCCACTGCCAGTTAGTCAATAGTCTGGTATTTGGGGGGGGGGGGAGATAGAGGAGAGATTTATGTTTGGGAAAAAAAATCTCCTGAGTATTTGCAGGTCAGTAATGTTATTCCAGTGTATTTTGTAAGTTTGCATCAATGTTTGGTCTTACCCAGATTAGATCACTTCCTATTTTCAAACGCCCGTCATTGAATTTGTTACAAGATTAGCAAACGACAGTTCTCACTCTTGTTCCCATTGAAATCAATGGCAAAAGCCTTATTGACATCACTGGGAGCAGGACTGGGCTACCAAGAATCTTGTGAATTTTAGAATGAAAAAGTAGAGGGTCTTGGGGATAGGAAGGGACATGAAGTCCATGATTCAGGAAAGCATTTAAGCACATGCTTAAGACCATCCCTAATCAGGACAGTGCTTAAGCATGCACTTAACTTTACACATGTGTTTATATCCCATTGATTTATTTAAAATGATCAGAGTAGCGTGACGAAAGATGGGAGATGATTTGCGTGGCACAAGAAATACTGGTAGAAAGGCTACAGCAGCTGAAAAATAACCAGAGGAGCATAAGTATGAAAATTATTAATGTATCATCTAGTATCCTAGTTTTGAGTTCAAACATTCCCATTGATCTCCGTAGGAGTTTGTATTCTAAAAATAGACTGCATTTGCTGAGAGACAGCAAATTGGAGCAGCATAGAGAGAGTTCAGAGCAGATTGGAACCCGCAGGGAGCTAAAAGAGGGGTCGGTGAGCAAGGAAACTCATTTGGCAATTAGTAGCAATTCTAGAGAGCTGGGAGAGCATTGGAGAATAAGGTAATTGTAACAAATATGACAATTTCACGTAATATCTTTGGGGGATCTTACTATATTAAATTTATGTGGGCCAGGGATTGTTTGTAATTCCATGGGGGAAGGTGACCACAGCCCTCTAGGAACTAAGAGCAGTGCTGGGTGATTAGACAAATTCACTCAGGTTGTAATGTCTCCAGAGAGCTACCACCACCTGGAGAGACTTATATACACTGCTTCAGACTGGATTCTCCAGAGACCAACAGAGAAAGACAGGACGTTTGGATAAACAGCCTGAGTTTAAATGGACTCCGAGCCTTCTTTCTGATCCAGCAAACTGAAGGACCTATTGTCCAAGGCAGCGGTAGGTTGGAAGGGCTGACACAGGCCAGAGGCTTTGTGGGAGCTGGGGTGAGCTCTGATAAGCTTATTAGCATTTGTGTAGGTCCTCTGTAATGCTCTCACCTTAAGAATAAACGTACTTGCTTAAAAAGCGCTGTGTGGTAACTTATAACTATGGGCAATTAACCTGTTCCAGAGAGAAAGCAAAGCTCAGGCAGTCTGGCTTGCGAGGAACTCACAGTGTAGGCAGGGTACTGTGCAACTTGCAAAAACCCTGGTCAGGAGGGAGAGATGCATGTCACTACCCAGGAGAGTTGATGGCTGAGGAGCTGTGAGCCTAGAGTGGGAGCCCTTGCTGGACCACAGAGGGGGAATACAGGTGCAGTTGCCCTGAACTGTGACAGTAATATTATTAGTGTTTGTTAATTTGTGAACCATTGCTCATAACTATTACAGCAATTCGCTAAATTAAAACAAATTAAAACATGAAGAGCTTGATTCCGTACTCCACCTACACAGGGGCAATCCTCGACTGAGAGGCTCTGGCTGAGTTAGGCTCACTTTGTATTTCATAAGTGGTGCAAAGTGAACTTGGTGGACTGGGGAATACAGCTCAAAGAATTTAAAATGTTCAGTAAAAAAAAGAAAAGAAGAAAAACTCCTGCAAAACATATAGATTGCTGGCATGATGCAGTAGGGGAACCAGTGTGGTCTAGTGGATGGAGCACTGGATTGGGAGTCAGGAGTCCTGACTCTGCCACTGACTGGTTTTGTAGTATTGGACCAGTCACTTCACCTATTTGTGCCTCTGTTTCCCCTCCCAATTTTTTATTTGTCTTGTCTATTTAGACTAATAAGCACTTCAGGGCAGAGACTCTCTCTCACTGTCTGCTTATAAAGTATCTAACACAATAAGGCCCCAGTCTCAACTGGGGCCATAAAGCAGTACAAAAAATAATATGAATAACTTTGTCTGGCATATGCTATAGATTTCAATAGGAGTTGAGAGTCAAAGGACTGGATTTATAAGCAAGGGACAGTTATAGTAAGGGGAAGGTCCTAGGAGTGGCTGGTGGAACTGAGCAAGTGACTGAGGTGACCCAAGCAGTTAAACCACTTGGATATCAGTAGCATATTAATACTGTATATAGCAGCATGTAGTTTTACTTTACAAACTCCCATCAATATCAACAGAGCTCAGCTTACACACACAGAATAGTAGATATTTGGAGGAATATAAACTGATATACATACCTGATGATTGGGTCTAAATTAGCTGCTACTACTCAAGAAAAAGACCTTGGAGTCATGGAGCAGATGTTTTCAGAGAACTATCCACAATGTGCAGCGGCAATCAAAAAGGCTAACAGACTGTTAGGAACCAATAGGAAATGGATAGACAAGAAGGCAGAAAATATCTTCATGCCACTATATAAATCCATGGTATGCCCACACTTTGAGAACTACGTGCAGTTCTGGTCACTCCATCTCAAAAAAGATTATTAGAACTGGAAAAAGTACAGAGAAGGGCAACAGAAATGATTAGGGGTATGGAACAGCTTCCACATGAGGAGAGATTAAAAAAACTGGAACTGTTCATCTTAGAAAAGAGACGACTGGAGGGGGGGGGGGGAAGATGATGGAGGTCTATAAAATCATAAATGGTATGGAGAAAGTGAATAAGGAAGTATTATTTCCCCTTCACATTCCATAAGCAGCAGGGGTCACCCAATGAAATTAATAGGCAGCAGGTTTAAAACAAAAGGGAGTACTTCCTCACACAATGTGCAGTCAACCTGTGGAACTCATTGCCAGGGGATGTTGTGAAGGCCAAAAAGCATAACTGAGATCAAAGAAGAATGAGAAGATCATGGAGGATAGATCCATCAGTGGCTATTAGCCAAGATGGCCAGGGACACAATCCCATGCTCTGGGTGTCCCTAAACTTCTGATTGCCAGAAGCTGGGACTGGACAACAGAGCAAGGATCACTCAATAAATTGCCCTATTCTGTTCATTCCCTCTGAAGCATCTGGCACTGCCTGGCCACTGTCGGAAAACAGAGCTAGATGGACCAATTGTCTGATCCAAGATGGCCATTCTTATGTAAGAGAGTAGAACTGAGGAAATAAGTGAGGCTCAAACTGGTGTAAGAGGGAGTTAAGGGAAGATTAGAATCGGGAGATGGAAAACAGGGGAGCTTTCTGACTTGCATTGACATCATAATGGCTCCTTTGTAGTTGTGCTGTCAATGGAGATACCCCTTTCTGGAAATACAATATTACTGACTAAGATGTTTATTGTGCTATAGTGAGGTTAAAAATCTGACTCAAGCCCATTAAACAAAGGAACTCTAGTTAAAGCAGCTGCTCATTATTTATATAAAACAATATCTTACACTGGCATCTTTCAGCTTGAAGGATCACAAAATAATTTACAAATTAAGGGCCAAATTATGCTATTAAGTGTACACAGCCTGGCTTGCACCGATGTCAGTAAGAGCCCTGCATGCATATCTGAGGGTAGGGTTTGAGTGAATGTCACCAGAAGTACAGTATTTCCATTCACCTCTGGCTGAAAAGCAACCACACCTCTTCGCATTCAGCAACAGTCACACAGCAGGGAACTGAAACTGGAGGGAGACTATATGTGGGCAGAATGTAATTACCCAGGTTGGAAGGCATGTGTGTTTGTGTGCTGGGAATCCATCAAGCAGACTTTTAAAACTTTGAAGTTATTTTTGTCATTTTACGAATATAACAACTTGCAGGTGCAAGGGATTTGAGTAGTCAGAGCTCTCAAACCAACAGTGTCTTTCTGGGGCTATGTAATACTTGAGCGGCCAAATTCTGGGTACAGTCCGGTGTAAATCTGGTGTAATTCTACCAACTTCAGTTGAGTTCCTTCACATTAACACTGGTGAAAGTGAGACCAGAATTTGAAAAGATGTCCAACGAAAGCCATTTGTCTGTGAGATGACTTGAAGGAAATTCAGGCTGAAATTAAGGGACAGACAGCTGATAAACGTACAAAGCCAAACTGAGATGTGATCAGGCTGCTTTGATTACTATCAGGGATAAACAGTGTTTGAAACATTCTGTGAACATTTTTTTACCTCATTCTTTTAGACAAAGAATTCATTTTCTTAATTAATTTGACTTCTTTTCCAAAAAGTATGTAACATGTCCAAGCCATCAGGATTAATCATGCGGGATTATTTGGTATAGCACTTCTAGGTCCTCTCTTATTTGTCTCTGCTGTAAAGTGATCAGTCCCAGTCTCTCTTCCATTTTTTGTTCCGATTGATAAGGCCCCCACATCTTAGGAAGTGCAACAAAATCAGTATTTATGCAAAATATTGTGAGCTATAAACCGTGGTAATTTTTCTTGGTGCTATGACTGTTTAATTTTCTGAGAAGTTTAGTAAAAGTTTATTGAGTGCAATAGAGTTTACACCAAATACAGGTATCCGGAAAATACTTAAAATTTTACTGATTAAACAAATATCCCAAGAGAGCAAATTTCCTGCATTTCAAATCTGGTATTTCCTCATTATTGACCTGATCTGTACGATTGAAATCAATGGTAACACTTCCCTTAACTTCAAAGAGAACAGGATTAGACCCTATGCAAGGTTAGACATTAACTAACTGTTTAGGCAAAAAAACCTGGGTGCCAGCAGCAGCCACAACATCCAACTGTTAGGATGTGCAAAAATAGGGCAGAAAATATTGTATCATATGCTCTCACCTACAGTAATGTATTCAGCGCTGTCATTCAAAAGAGAGACAGCAGAAATAGAGGCGAAGAGAAACTTCCATATGAAGAGAGACTTGAAAAGGCTGGGACTGTCTAGAGAGGCAATGAATAAGATATGATAATTGTGTACAAACTAATGAGTTGTATAGAGAAGGAAAATTAGGTGCTCCCATGTACTTTCTCATAGTTAAACAACCAGGGGACATTCAGTGAAATTGAAAGGCAATACATTTTCAACAGATGAAAGGAAATACTGTGGTGTTTTTTATGTTTATGCAATGCATATTTATTATTTATCCTGTGGACCTCATTGCCACAGGATGCCATAGTGGCCAAGACCTTAGACAGATTCATTAAAGAATAAGACAATTTGAAGAATCATGAGGACATCCACAGTTTCATTAGATGTGAACTGTGGGTAGAGGAAGGTACCACATCAGAATGATGGTATTTTACACCCACTTTGTATTCCACTCTGCACAGGTGTGAATGACTACACAGTGTGCAAGGCAAATTGCAGGTGCTAAGAATATATTTTCATTAAGAACTTACGTGAACTTCCATGTTTTCTCAAAAAATATCCATGAACTCAATGTCAAATGATGCATTGTCTGTTTTTTTTTATCTTGCAGATCTGAAAAGAGAAACAGAATGAAATATAATGAGTGCAGATTATTGAAATATTTTATATATTTGTACGAAGATTATGAACTTCCTAAATACAAGATACTCCTTAAAAATGTCCTCTTTGTACATTTATATCCCTTTCTTGTTGTCTATTTTGCATAATGTAAAAAGTACTGGTGACATAACCTAGCACAAAACAGAAAGTGGTGAACCTGTACATATTCAGGAATAAGTTTATTTTATGAGCAGAGAATAATGTAACTCATAGTTTGAGAAAATCAAATAAACCATTTTTCCGGGGGAAAGATCTTCTTACTAGTTGATTTTTTTCTCTTGCTGTTGAAAATAGATGATATTGACATAACAGTTTCATGGATAAAGTGTTTTAATGAAAGTGCAGATTGCAGGATTAGTAAAAGTTCATCTATTCTATGCTTTACTTTTACATATTAATGATTGGTTAATGGATGGGTTTGAAATTCTGTAAAATAAAGAGTTAAAGTAAGGTGAAAATCTTTACGTATGCTCTTTGAAGATGAATTCATCCTAAATTCCTCCTTTGCTGTAGAGCTGCAGTATTTTCTTTTGCCTAAAAATGTAAAATGCACTGTTGTTCACATATTTATGCATTGCTTTTACATTGTACAAAACTTGGTGACAGAAATGTGAGGTAAAAAGATCCTTAAATAGAACCTGGTTCAGGAAAGCACGTCTGTTCAGGAAAGCTCTTACGCACATGCTTAAAATTAAGCGCACACTTAAGTGCTTTTCTGGAATTGTGGGTCTTAAAACCCAATCCTGCAACCCTTACTGAAGCAAATAGTCCCACCAATTTTGATGCAACTACTCACCTGAACAAAGAATAAAGAATCAGGCCCTTAGAAGGTAATATAAAATACTGTCTCCTATACATTTTTCCACTGTATTAATATTGCACAGAAATTGAGTATGATCAAACAGATCTTTAAATATTATGATTAAATGTGAAACCCACATGCTTGTTTTATATGGAATGTACATAATGAAGATTGTTTAAGGCATATTCTATTTTTGGAAATGAAATTTTATTGTTGGAGCAATTCAATACATTGTATTTCCTTGGTCTCGTTTATGTCATTTACTCACTGTGGAGGGACTGTTCTGGTAATGGTATTCATGAGTTTTCTACCAGTGACTGTACCTGTTCTACATGCAATGAAATCTGCCTGGACTGCTTGTAATTTATTCTATTCAAATAAGGATAATTATTCTGGTTAGAAAACAGGTTTCCAATGGAATGTTCCTAACAGTGACATATGTTTAATGCAGGCAGCAGTTTCTCATTTGCTACAATGACAGGATACCAAAGTCAGCCACTAATATCCTTACATTTTAAGTCGTTACAGATTATATTTGCATGACTCTATACAGGAAATTATACAGGATTCTCAGTCACTTCAACTCAGGAAAAAAGGACATGCTTGTATTTTGGCTTTAAATAAGCAATATCAGTGTAGTTTACTAGCTTGCTTTATCCTATACATGTGTAGCTAATTCCCCTTTATGCACGCCGCAGCCCTAAAGCAAGAGTGTCTAAGGTGAAATTAGAGGAAGTGTCAAGATCCAGAATGCAGCAGGCGCATCTTTCATTTCCACATTGACAAGATTAGCGTGACTGATCAAGAAAGAACAATTTCCCATATACTGCTTATCACTCACTGCAATGCAAAACATTCTCTGGAAAACGTCATCCTTTGGATTTTTACACAATCTCCAACTGCTTGCAAAATTCACAAGTGGAGATGTTTACTTTGTTCTATTTCTCAGGAATCTCAAGGCACTGAATTTTAAACAGACCACAAACATTCATAGCTGAATAAGATACAGATATGCATATTTCCCACTATTTTACGAACTTTTCCTCTCTATAGTTAATTAACAAATTCAGCTAATTAAATATACGTTGGTAAAGTCCCAGGTTATCTCAGCAATGCTCATGTTCTATTACTTAATATCTAACTTTCCAGAAAGAAGAGACTACAACTAGATGGAAACGGGCCTTTGAAAGAAGGGAAGGGTGGATTGAAAGTAAATGAACAGAATGCACATATCCTGGAATCAGAGATATGGTATTAATTTTCTATTTTGATCTACACCATTGTCTATCACTGCTGTAGTGATATGCATTCTTTTACTGGAGCCCGTAAGAATTACTTGTAAGTGTTTTTAGATGCACAGCAAATTTAGGTCATGCCAGAATTAAGGTTGCCTGTGCAATCTTAATTCAGCCCGCCTGTGTACATGCATTATGGTACAGGTTTTAATTACACAATCACATACTATTTTTTTTCCAGAGGACTCTGGCCTCAATTAAGTGATCAATATCTATCCTGTGCACTAAATAATTAAATATTTTGTTTTCTTCTTGTTGCGCTGAAGACAGAATTATAATTTCCTCATGGGCTTTTCTCTGGAGCGCCTCACTATAGTATCCGACTATAGTATCACCAACAAAACTAAATGTATTTTCACAACACCCATGTGAGCTAAGTGGCTATTAGCCCTATTTAACAGATGGGAACTGAGGCACAGAGAAGTTAAAGTCAAAAGTATCCACTAATTTTTGGTGCCCAATTTGAAATGCTGAAGACCTGATTCTTTACTTAGCATTACAGTATGTTCAAACCATAGCTCCCAGTTGCAGCCGTGAGAGCTCAGCACTTCTGCAAGTCAGACTCAGAGTCCCAAGCCAGGCATCCAGAAAAGGAGCATCACATCAGAACTCTGTGGCAGTTCTCCAGGGTAGTATTCAACGTCCTTAACCATGAGCCCATCCTTTTTCTTCCTGCAATTCCCTGCCTCATTCACTGCACACCTTCCGACTTCTGCAACAAATGAAGCAGGGATCCTTCAGAGAACAGCCTCTTTTACTATACAACTCTGATTCATCCCCAGAACAGGGCCATTCTGTGTACTGAATGAGACAGAGGTCTTATGTGATCATGTACTCACCTCTTTCCCCTCACCCTCTGGTCTCCCTGCCCAGCTAGTCCCAGTTTCCTATCTGGCTCCTCATCCAATCACAGTCTCACCCATAGCTACTGGCTTGCAGTCTCCCTTTACTATTGCTGCCCTGGTTCCCAGTACCAATCTCCCTCTGGCTCTCAGTCTGCCTTTCCCTCAGGCTCTCAGTCTGCCTTTCCCTCAGCTCCCAGTGCCATTCTTCCTCCGCCAGCCTCCAGTCCCAGTCACCCTCAGGCACCTTGTACCAATCTACCCTCTGCACAAATCTGGCTTTTATCCCTTCTGCATGCTAGTCATGCAGCTTCCTTCTCCACACTGCCAGAAGGAGGGGCACTGAGATCGCAGGAGAGACTGCTCTCAATTCAGGTTGCCAGGCCCAGACTCAGGATAGCCCACAATGGCCCAGCGCTGCAATTGCAGGGAAAGCCCTTGTCACCCTGGACAACGTGGGGAGTAATTTAGCAGCTATAAACTGAGAAGTCTCTACTGAGCATGTGAAAACTGTGGTATTTCAAAGACTTATAATTCAGTCACATTTGGCTACAAGCCCCACACTGGTGAGATAAGGGGTAAAGAGCAGCTCTGAGCTCTGGGCTCAGAAAGCTCTGCTCTGTCTCTCCTGCTGAGCACGCTCATAGTGGAGGCAGAGGTCAAAAGGGAGCAGCTCATCTCAGTCTGGGTGTTCAGAGAAGGAGAGCAGTTGTGTGTTGTAGGCTCCTGCTGAGAAGCTACTGAGGCCCCACTGCTGGTCCACTGCAGGCCCTCCAACCATGGAGGTCGATGAGACAAGCTGCGACTGAGAGAGGAAGACCCTCTGGAGTGCTACCAGACAAGACTCCAGAGAGGACTCAGAACCGAACAAGCAGCACCAACAGAGGAACAGAAGCTGGGGTAGGAAGTAGCCCATGGAGCAAGCCTAGGGGTACTGGCCCCCTGAGGCCACAGAGTGTGAACTACTATTTACTGGCCCCTGAGTTGGAACCTGGTGAGCAGGGAAGGTCCAGGTTCTCCTGCCCCTGACCACAGACATTCGCCCCTGGGTGACATAGCCACGAATTGTCACTGCTGGGCGACTCGGCCACTGACCCCCCATCACTGGGCAACACAGCACAGAATATAACCAGTAGGCAGTACTGCTGGGCTTGGGCACCAACCCTTCTCCGTCCCCCAACCAACAGGCCAGCAAAAGGCACATCTGTGATGTAAAAGCCACTCCCCTATTAAATTTCAAGACCCTGTTCCAAAGCATGGGGATGCTGGAGCTTTTCAAAGAAAATATCACCAGAATTTCTGAAAACGTGAAAAACAACATGTTATTCCATAGCCCCATTTTCAGATATGGCTAAACCATTATGGCTGAAATTTTCCAAAAACTTCAATCTGAGGCCAACACCAGACACCCAGCCTGGGAAACTTAAGCCCAAATGCTTTTACTTTGACAAAGTTATAAGCAGAGCCCTATGACTTTTTTTTGAATTTTTATTTTATTTCATTTTATCATCCCTGGGGGAGGGGAGGGGAGGGGAGGGCAGGTCCTGCCTCCAGGGGGATGAAATGAAATTCCTGAAAAATTCCCGGTGAGGAGGGGAGGCCTGGGATGGGGTTTGGAGAGTGAGCCCACTCTCCCCTCACCCTGAGCAGTGGCATCTCCTGTGTCCCAGCTCTTAGGCCTGGCTCTCCACTCTGGGAGTTGCGACCTGGAACACAGGATCACAGCACCTCACACTGTGTGACATTGTGTTCTCAAAGTGGACATGAGGTAACTGAGGCTGACAGAGATGGTATTGCATTGTTATCACTAAACTCTGTATAGGTCGTAGAATAATAGAAATGTAGGGCTGGATGGGACCTCAAGCAGTCATCTAGTCCAGCCCCTGCACTGAGGCAGGACCAAGTAAACCTAGACCATCCCTGACAGGTATTTGTCTAACTGTTCTTATAAACCTACAGTGATGGGGATTCTACCACCTCCCTTGGTAACCTAGTCTCTTGCTTATCTATCA